CGGGTCTAAAGCGCACACTGACAACAATCAGATGTCGTGACAATGTCAAACTACTTGCCGTACATTTCAAAGATATTCACAGGCAGACAGAGTAACTCCCCCCCTCCTACCTAGACCTAGGTAACCGCTGGCATGTTCACGTGCATTTCGGTGGCAGCAGGTTTATTGGAATTTTATGCACTTCTTGCATTTTATATATACTATTTCGAATTGCTTGCGAGTGGGTGGGTGGCACGCTTGAAGGCGTGGCAGATGCGGTTTCTATAATGGCATTAAAGTTTGTCTTCAATTCGGGCCACAAGTTTCGTTGCTAAGAGTTCTGCTTGTGGCAAGAGCTAGAAAACTTTTGCAGCACGTTGACGGGTATTTTTGAGGTTTTCCATCTGATATTTATGCGTTGAGCTGCAAAAATGTAATCGTGTTGGAAACTGTTGAAAAGATTTTAAATTAATACGATATAAATAGAGAAAATTACAAAAGCAAGTCTAAAAACTGTTTATAATACCAAAATATTGCAAGTGCTGCTAGATTCTTTTATATGCATTTTTATTATGTCATGAAAAGTGCAACCCATTCAAGAATTCATTTTCGATCCCATAAAGTATATAAATTCCAACAGCCGAGTTGATATAGCCATGTCTGACTTCTCTCTGTCTAGACATCTGTGCGAATAAGTCTTTAGTTTTTAAGTTGTCGTCAGGAAAGTCCTGCTTTGTGTTGCATGTGCATGCATATGGCCGGATCGCACGACTATATGATATAGCTGCCATAGAATGATCGGTTGGAAATTAGATTTTTGTATGCAAAACATTGTTGTTTATTAAGATGTCTTCTCCAAACTCTTCATTAATTTGCTTGACTCTGTTCCTCATATATTTGCCCCATCTATGCCTTGACATTGAGAGAGAGAGGCGCCCTTGTTACGTTCCGGCGAATCCTTTAAATACCAGACAGTATTAAGTCAGGTGCGCCTTCCCCTTCATTGTAAATACCACATAAATTACCAAAGATTGTAACTATAATTTGTTAGAGAAGATACTTATCGATTCCAGCGTTATAAAGAAAACACATGAAAAACTTAGATACTCTAAGAAATCCGCTAAGAAGTAAGGCAAATGTCTAGAAGGGTATGTGGAAAATATTTTACTTTCTCCTTAAGCTTTAGTTTAGAATTATGACAGATTACTGTCTTGTGTTTATTTAAAGCATTAACATTATGTTTCTTAATAATTCAGAGAATGTCTTTTTTTCAAAAATACTCTTTCAAGTTCAAGAACCCGAATGAACTCTATGATTACCCAGCTGCTACGCTTGACTCATTAGCAGCGCTCTAATCACCTGTGCGTGTGTCAGGCAAATATAGTGTGGCAGATTATTTGACAGCTCGTGTCAAATCCGTTGAACAAAGCAGAACTCTAGACAAAATTAAACAAAGATGACGGGCTGACTAGTTCCAAGAATTGTTCCAGAGTTGAATGAAACTGTTTTTGTGCGGGTTAAATGAGCGCAACGAGTTTTAAGTATTAAATTCAACATTTATTGATAAAACACGCTTATCATCTGGCCGTACTTGCTTCAGACCCGAAGGCAGCTCCATTTAAGACTCGAGGCGAGTCATTTACAGTTATGGTTAAACAGCTTTCAACAATTAGTAAACACTTAAGCTGCAAAATGTACACAAAAGTCCTTGAGCTGGCATTATTGGAGTATTGTGTGCGTGTGTGTGTGTGTGTGGGTGTGGGTGTGCGAGTTGCGGCATTCGCCCAGCATGGTCCTTGTTCCTTGCTAATCGAGGCTGTCGTTGTTCTATATCCTTCTAGAGATGTTGCTACTAGCTCTGCTCGCTCTTCCTCAACTCCCCCTATTGCTTTTGTTTATTTTATTTTTTTATTTTTTGTTGTTATTGTGCCGGGAATTAAGCGTTCAACTTATATTGTGGCCCGTGCTGTCCGCTTAAGCTGCACGCGTGTCGCCAGCTTGTGGCCTGGACAGGATGTCAAGAGCGCAACTTTTTAAATTTTAACAATCATTAAACTTTATCTTCTCTTCCGCGTATAACATAATTATTTTCTAGCATTAATAAAGCAAGAGATACAACAAAAAATATATGTGCGGCAAGTCGATCTCGAAATGTCGTATCCACTTAAAATGGCATTTGCTTAACATTCATTCTGTTGTGCACGCACTTGAGCTGTTCGGCTTAATTGTAAACTGCGCTCTTATTCAAGATTTACATGCAACGCCTTTGGGCTGTATTCTGATTACAAATTCCTTGGCTTCGCACAAGTATATGTTATATTGTCAGTAGATTTTACGATTTGCTAGCTGGCAATGTACTCAGCTTTTCGGATTTTTTTTTCTAGAGCTTATCTCTATGTCTGCTTTCGTATGCATTGGGCTTAGTCAAGGCCATAAAAATGATGGCCGTCAATGAACATTTGGCCAATATAAATTCGTCGACTCGCTGCCCTAAGTTATGCAACAGTAAATAGAACGCGCCAATTTTATGACCAAGAAGTTAGATCTTGTCGTTAATACACAGAGAGAGAGAGAGAGAGAGAGAGAGAGAGAGAGAGATATATAGAGAGGGTAAGAGAGAGAGAGCGAAGAGGGGAAGCCCAACTTGGCTAATAGCTGAAGGCTTTAAATTGACCAAAAACTCATCTAATTGCAGCCCCGAAAACTGTCGTCGACTTATAGTTCATTTAACAGTCGACTCTCGGCAAGTTTGACAAATTGCATGCCCGACATAATGATGGGCCAATCGAGCATGGGCCCGGCGGCATGCAACAATAAATCACACTGGCTGTGGGATCTGTGCAACGATTTGCGCCCAAAAACTACTTAATGACAGTTGGTCGGGCCAGGGCACGGCCAATGCTTTGTTGAGGCAACAAAAAATACTTATATTATAGACTATTTTGCATAGTATTTTCTATATAAAGATGAGCAGACGAGCAATGCATTGATTTACACACACGAAATCGTGTATGAGGCCAGATGTTTTAAGTCAAGCAATCAGAAACGAAAAAGGGCTCAGCTAAATACTTGATTATTGGATGTGTTTGGGTGTGTCTTTGTGTGTGTGTGTGTGTGTGTCTTTGTGTGGATTTGAACTTTATGAATATTAAATGTGCAGAAAAGTGTACAATACTTAACAAAGGAAATGCAACTATTATGCGCATACATCAAAAAGATAAAGGCAAAACGAGTTGATGTGCAAATACCCTGTACTTAGCTCTGGGAATCGGGAACATGGCTAGAACGATACTCTGTAAGTAAGAAGGCCAGGAATGTCTTTTTGACAGTCATCAGATTTTAACAAGCTTTACTGCTTTTTGGAATATGTAAAGTAAATTGATCGGCAATATAGTGAATATGCTCACCCATAACTAGAGTATTTGCTTTGAATATACCTTATATATTCTTATTTGTGCACTCCTTTCACTGCCCCCAACTACTTTTAGGGGGCACAGAGTTAAGTTACAGAGTGCTTTTAGCTTGTAATTTTCAGCCTTTGGTAGCTTTTGTTTCGTTTGTCTTTTGACAATTAGCCACCCACACAATAAGCCTGATTTCAAGCTAAGAAACCCAAATGTCACATTGGATATCAAATTTCGTGATGTCAAATGGCATATTAAATGGGAATTTGTAGGAATTCGAAAGAGTTGAAGTGCATTGAATTACACAAAAAATATTTGTGCACTTTATTGATTTGTAAATTGTTGCTTTAAAAAGTTTTCACCTTTGGCTGCATGCATTTGAAATTGGAAGTTGTGATTATGCACAATTGATTCGGTTACAGTATACCCTTTAGAAGTGAGTATAGATAGGGTATATTAAAGCAGCAGAGAGAATTTAATACCACATGGGGAACACATGCTGCTGATCAGCCTATGAGAGCTGGCCATAAAACCGCTAAGTACAAGCTTTTAGCTGCTTTTATTTGGCATTTTTTAAAGCATAGACAGATTTATATGTGCTGTATACAGAGTATCTACGAGTCGATCATGCGCGATTTGCGTAGTGTTGCAGCTGTTGCAAGAGTTGCAGCAGTTGCAGCTTCATTCCATTTGCCACTCGCCGTTTTATTCCATGCCATAAACCAATTTTATTTGGCGCTCAGATTACACAGAGCTGGCCATGATTAGTGTGTTGCGCTGTTTTGTAGTCTTTGTGCGGCTCGGCAAAGCTCGGACTGGCCAATTGGCATTTCGAATTCTTTGGCCATAAAACTGGGAGTTCATTTTGCATGTGCCACGCCCATCTACAGCATTTGGCAGACTTGGTGTTGATGACGCCCACAAAAAACTGTATAATTTCCATTGTCAGTATATGGAAATTTCATCTCTTCGTCTGGGTAAAAGTGTATTTATATATGAAAGACAACGCAGCCATAAAGACGCGCTTTTGCGTCTTGGCTTAGTTGTCTGAAGGTCGAACTAATAAGCGCGAGGTCGCTGGTTCAAATTTGGCAGCAATTCATAATTTGCTGTCAATGATTTGCGTTTGTCTGCAGCTGTCGCAAATGAAGCAAACAATTTCGTTAACATTTGCATAATACAATTGTTCCGAGCGACGCCGGGTAATTTCAGCTAGCTCTCTATACATAGAGTATATCATAGCATTTATGTCGGTTAAACACATTTTATTGCCCAATTACATGCGATAAAAGCAAAAAGTTCTCCACGTTCTTCATTCTCTTAGGGTAGGGCTTATTTTCAAGGTCATATCTTTTATGTTTGTGGATTTATCAAATCGCAACTTTTGTTATTTTTTGGGTGCTTCGCAGATAAGCTTCCCACATAAATATATATATATATATATATATGTGCGATAAATACAAGTGTGTCAAGGTGTTAAGAAAAGTGTACAAAAACCCGCTGCGAGATGTGCTTTTTATTTCAATTGAAACTCGTTTGAAGTAGCGAAAAGATGTCCAGTCTTGCATATGCGGTAAGTGTTGCGATTATGGGCGATATATAGCTGGATTTTAAACAATATACCAGCTTACAGTTTTGGCTGCACTGAGCTGGCAGCTGCAGCTGGTTAACAGCAGCTGTAATCTGTGTCAGGCCAGCAACGATGCGGCCTGCATTAATCAGACGGCGTATCAATTGTGCTTTGGCCAGGATAGCCCCAATACGAATCAAATATTCAACTGCCCCGACGGCCTGGTCTGCACGGATAAGCCGCAAATCTGTTTCCAGCGCTCCGAAATGCCCGCCAGTTGTGGCGACACCGACAGCTGTGGCCTGTGCAACGAGAACAATGTTTTTGCCTGCACCTCGCGCAACACATTCGCCTTCTGTTTTGGCGCCACAACGCCCACCGCTGTGAATGGCACCTGCCCCGCGGGACGCTTCTGCGACGCCTCCAGCGTGGATATATGTGTTGCCACTGCCACAGCCGATTCGATCATATGCCATTTGGATTGATTCAATTGATTATTGTGCTGCTCGACATTCCAACGAGAAACTTGTCAAACGAGAGTCGATTTTAGTTTATAGCAAATGTTTCATATTTCTTAACGAATTTGATAGCATGAAATATTGTTTGCTGCAGACTGCCTTATTCTAAATTTAAACTAAACTAAAAGTTAAACTATTTTTTTTTTTTAAATTTTGGGAGATAGAAGATAGAAGAAATATGACGCTTTTTTATGAAATCAAGTATTAAAGTAAAAAGACAATTACATGTGAATAATTTTTTATGAATACTCATTCAATTCATAAAAAATGATGCAGCTGCTGTTTTCATAAAGTAAAGAAAATTTGTGAAAAAAATATAATAAAAACCTGCATGGTTAGCGCAAAAATTTGTTCCTGAAGTCAACTAGTGTAACAATAATAATAATAATATTTGATATGCAAATAGGAAAAATGTTATATATAAAAATGTTTTTTTTTTTATTTTCTTTTTGGCAAACGCAAATTGCGCATACGCTATGTGGCACGCAAGCTTAATAGTTAAAAAAGGTTGCATATGGGAGAAAGAAAAATAGTATAAAAAATTAAATATGCTGACAAACAAACTAACTTCAAGCTGGTAAAAATATACATTATGCATAAGTGTTATCTTTGGTCGTAATAATATTGTCTATTATATTAACAAACTGGTCAAGTTTTGCTTAACAGAGAAATGTTTGCAGAAATTAATACTGAACACCTGAACAGAAACCATTTTATCTATTCTGTTCATCTTTTCATTATCTATGCTGCGTTCAAGTTATCTCAGTTATCAGAGCAAACGCACATTTGTGCAAATTTTAAATGCTGTAAATTCGGCGCTCAATTTCCACTTGTTGCTTTTTAAGCATTTATAAAGAGTTCTGTTTAACTCTGTGCTCTGGTTAAATATTTACCTATTCAATGCTCAGTTTCTTGAGTATTTGCTACACATGTTGATTTAAACGCACTTTGATAACTCAATAGCTCTTTTTGTGCATGTGTGTGTAATTGTGTTTACTTGTGTGTCACAAATGTATCTCTATTAATTATAGTTTGTTTACTTAGTCAATGACACGCTTTCCGCTTCAGCAGCCACATCTGACGCACTCACAAGTCGCGAAATGAGTTACGAAATGTCTGCTAGTATGCTTAAAATAAAAATAATATTTAGTTCTAATTAAAGTGGCATTCTTTTGTGTATATACCGAGCAGCTGATTGTGTAAAATGAACATAAATTAGAGCAGCGAAAGTAATTGTGACAATGGAGATAGTCTCTGTGCCGAGCATGGCCCGAGTGTGTTGTGTAGCGTTCAGTTTAGTATTCAGTGTTGAGAAGAAAATAGAATGGAAAGAATTTGAGTAGTGCGCTACAGGAGAATAGACGTTTTTAAGCTATTGAGTTAAACTATTCGCTTCTCTTTTCTCATTTCTCTTGGAAAGTACATTTAATATCAGATAAAGCGCATCTGTTAGTCGTTCACAGTTAACTAGACCAGCTTATTTCGTTTAATTATATACATTAAAAAGAAACTTAATTGAGTAGCACATACCTGAAACGGAGTATAAGAAACATAGATGGAGCTGCAGTGAGAGAGAGAGAGAAAAATACTGAAAATATTTCAAAGATTTCTTTATCGCTTTTGCGTGAAACTAAAATGTTTTCGAGTGAAGTCAAAATAGGGAGCTGCTGCCGCCATTCTTTAAGTTAATTTAAACTAATAATATTTACTAAAAGCTATTTAAATTGTTGGCAATTAAGCTACGAGCCAGCCTTAAATCTTAGCACACCTGTGTTAGCCCAATGCAGTTCCCAAACTGGCCAACCTGAGGATGTTTGCCTCAACCGAAGCAAAGCCGTTGACCAACCTTGCTGTTTGCCAACGTAAAGTTTGGTTTAAACATTTACGAGTCTTTGCTGCCTGTTTTATTTTGTATCTTTTTATTTTATCTCTTTTGTATTGTTTTTTTCGTGAAGGCGTGTCTGTGTGCGCGCGTGTGCATGTATTTCCACTTGTGTCTGTGTGCGCGAGTTTCCGTTTCCGGCTGACAACGTTGCGGGTCTGCCGTTTGTCCTGCTCGGCACGTTGGTTCGCTGGCATTAAGTGCAGCTCACACTTAGAGCGCAATACACACACACACACACACTCACACACGCGTGTGCAAAAGGTATGCACAGTCGTTTGGCACTTTCGGTTTTGATAGCCTCAACAGAGAGTCGCTTTACTGTTGCAGGCGTTTGGTAAGAAAATAATTGCGAGTGACGTAAATGTCTTTTATATATTTACAAAAATTGATTTAAATTAAAAGAAAGAAAAACCAATATATATTAAATATAAATAGATTCCTTGTATTTGTTTAAGCTACAACTTAGCTTAGGGCTTTTCTTCAAATTTCAAAATTTATAAATTTCTTCTATAAAAGTCGCTTATTTATAAAATCGATTTTGTGGAATTTATTCAAAAATCTGGTGCTTAATTCGTTTGCAACTAAATCAATTCAAAATCAAAACTAGGCAAAAAGAAAATTGGATAAAATTGTAATAACAAATTTAGTCGAGTATTTATTTAATACAATATATCTATATAGTCTTTTAATACGTTGTTTATTTTATATTAATTTTTTATTATTCTTATTGAAGAATTTTTAAATTTAGTTATACTCTTAAGACATACTTAACATATATACATATGTTGTTTTATATTCATTGACTTTGCCAGACAGCGTTGCTTGTTGCAGGCCTTTACATTTTGGCGCATTCTGATTCCTTCTCTTTCTTTTTTTCCATTCTTATTAGCTAACTCTCTCTTTCATTTTTATCTGCGTTGTTAACTGGTTGTGTGTGCCGGGGCCAATGTATTATTAAAATTACAAATGTAACATTTTATTTAAAAGTAAATTGTGGGCGTTGCTTTGGTGTCTTATGTGTGTCTTGGTGTGTGTGTGTGTGTGTCTGTATGTGTTTATTGTTGTTGTACTTTATATAAAAACTAAGCTTTCATTTGTGTCGCTTTGGCCCAAAAGTAATTTTTGCCTGCTGTGAGTTGGCAGAGCTCTTTGGCAAACTGTCTTCTGTTGCTTTACATTTTTGATTTTCCTGCACTTTGGGATTTTTTATTGTTTGTGGAAGCCGCATACCTCCAAGTCCATTCCACCGCATTTAAGCGCCTTACAAAGTGCAAACATATTGCAGCAAATGCGTTCAATAAAATTGTAAATATTCAATTATTCTTTCATGGGCATGCACACATCACCCGATGCCCCTCTAGATTGCCATGCCATTTGCACTTTTGTGCAAAATCCTAAAATTGTGGGTGCCATTTCGCCCCAAAACCAACACATTTGCCAGCAGGTAAGCCCTTATTCATTTGTTTGCCCGCTTGGCTACACATTGGAATTTATAGAATTTCTCTGTAAAAATGTTTTTTTGTTCCGGTTTTAGACATTTACTGCCCAAAAACAATTTAACTGAATTCAAATTGAAAGCACTTGATTTGCTGTCAGCTCAGCTCTGACTGCTCTGTCAATTATTGGACTAGATCTACGGAATTGTTTTGGTTTTGTTCATTCGGTTAGGCAAATGAATTGAAAACATGTAAATAAAACCTTATCTGCAGTAAATTGGAGTGGAATACCATTATGTGTCAGAAAACTGAGCTAAATGTCACAGCTAGATATCTGATTTCATAGCTCACAATTTCTTTTATTTAATTTAAAATCTAGAAAAGATTATAAAGCATTTATGGATCGTTTGTTTGCAGTTTTTATGTATTTCTGGTTCAATTACCGTCAAGAAAATGGCCAACAAAAATCGTTTATTTTTGACAAGGCTCAAGAATTGCGTCACAATTTCGAAGTTGCCAGCCGGAAATTGTTTTGACGTTTGTTGTGGTTGATAAAGCAGCTCATTTGCCGTATCCGCCCACTTGCCCGCCCCCTGACCACGCCTCTGCCCATAACTAGTTGTTTTATTCCTGCACGGATGTAACTTTCGCTGTGAATTTGTTATTTCTGCTGACTTCTTTGGCCAACTGAGCTCTGGGTCTGCTCCCGTGCCACGCCCACTTCCCATTAACCTTGCACATTTGGCGACATTTTCATTTACCATAATTTCAGTTGTCTGCCCTTGTTTGTTGAAAAAGACTCAACTGCCAGATATACGAAGGAGTTTAAAAATGCGCTGAATAAAATCGACTAAATAGATGCATTGTGAAGTTTGAATTTAGCCCTGTGAACATAACTATATGAAGTTGTGGCAGCAGTTCAGTCAGCCTCAGAATAGGAAACGCAGATAATGTCTTGGCCAGGCTATAAGGAAGTTAATTTAATCAACGTCAAAAGTTAGAGGAACACCCCCAAACACGACCTGCTTAAGGGTCAAGGCTCAAGTAGTTGACATTGATCCAGGGCTAACATTGGCAATGCGTTGATTATGGCTTAAATAATATATATGAAAATTATAAATGTGTGCATTGTCATTTGCCATGGTTGCCAGACCAATTGCATTACGTATACGCCGCGTCTTAGCCAAGCTGTTAACAGCAACACGCAAAGGCCAAGTGAATAAATTGCTTGCTAACATTCGTATATAATTTGTAAAGGGAATTGCAAGTAAGACAATAAAAATGTTCATTTATTATGGAAATAAATACCTGCAAACCTGATATACAAAGATGTTGTAAAAAGTCAAAGATTGTTGGAAATAAAAAGATAAAAAAACGGAGAAATTCGCTTATAGAAATATATATGTGTATAACCAGCTGCTTGCCGTCCAAAACACATGCTCATAAATATGCGATTGGCATTAAATCATAGCATACATTTGGGCGCTGCGAACTAAACCTTTGACCTCAGTTAACCATGCACAGAACGGACATCGGCAGCTGCCACAACAACAGCTACACAAATGTTCATTTGGTTAATTATCCGAACAGTCAAGAAGCAGCGCAACATATTATGACGAGTTGATGGCCATTGAACCATGAATAGTTGCTTGAATCAGAGCAAACAATAGGCCAAATTCAACAAACCCAAACGGATTTAACATGCCGATTATGGTCAAGAAATTTGTGTAGATTGGAAAAGCAAACTTCGCATGGGGCATAATCAAATGGGAGCAGAATTCAGTACGGCTATGTAAATGTATTTAGTTATGAAACACAAGTTTTTGCAGATTAGTTTGTTGGTTAGTTACAAGTTTTGGTTTACCAAAGACATAGCCAAGTCAAACTGATCGACTTTATGACGGGAAGTGAAAACAGAAACTTTGTTACCAAAAATGACAAATTCATGGCATGTACACATGTGTCTAACTATTTATTAAGAGAAAGTAGAGACTGTTTTAAATAATTTGTAAACAAAAATTTTTAATTGAAAGAAAGTGCAATCTATTCAGCGAAACAACTTTCATGCCTGTTGCCTTTTTTATACATTATTAGATTTTCATTTAAATCATTTCAAATTGTCAAAATTTGATTACAAATTAAGTAAATATAAGTTTAATATATTTAATTTCGACAGTTTTACATAAATTAAAAAAAAACGAAATTGAAAAATATTTTCGAAAATTTAGTAGAAGCAACGCAAAAGGTCATACGTCTACTTTCCACAGCGCATCCGCGTCAACTGTTATCGTTAACGGCGACGTCTCGTTGAGAGCTGAGTGCTGGCTGTTAAGGTTTTACAGCGCTTGGGTCTAACAGCACAGCTAGTTAGCAGGTGCTGTCAATTGGCAGCGCTGCATATTAACATCTGTGCTGTTAACGTACATCAGCAGACTCTGTTAAGTTATTTACTTTGTGTTTTCGGCTCTGTTAAGGTTTGTATTTGCTTTTGCATTGAACTTGAACTAGACTAAAGTTTTTGCTTTTGCCCCTGTTGTTGGAGCGAATTTTTCCGGCTATATTCTTGATGCCGCTCTCTACGCAGACGCCTAGCAGCCGCAGCAAGCTGCGCACTTGGTCTAGCGACTTTTGCCGCGATCGTTAACCAATTTTTTAATTATTGATTTGAAAGAGAATTAAGGGCAAACAAGAAATCTAACTTTACATATTTTAATAAATAAATGAGAAAATGGTTCAGTTTAATCAAAATTATATTCAAAATGATAAATAAGTTAATTCTAATTCCTTTACCACAAATAAATGAAATTCAGATTCTCAAATATTGTCATTAAATGTTTATATATAATATATAGAATATAATTTAAAATTAATTATATTCTATTCAGTAAAATTCTTGTGTTGAAATTGAGTCCTTTAATGTGGTTATGCCTGGGGGCTTGTTGTATGGATCGAACGTCTTCTGATTTTAATTGTCAATGTTAATTGATTATTTTGCTTATTAATTTTGTTGCATCATTGCAACATCCTGAAAATGGAAAAAATAAATAAATGCAGTTTTAATTGAAGTCAGAGTGTGATGCAGAAAAATAAGCATTACATCTGCAGCAGCTGGGTAATTGATAAATTAATTGCTTTTGGTAGCAACAATTGGATCAAGGACAAAAACTCTAATGCGACAGACATGAAGGACACGAATTATGTCCTGAGCGCTGCATACAAAAACCCAATTGACAACTTCTGCAGCTGCAAATGTGTGAATTAATTACGTCAGTAATCAGACAAACTTAATAAGCTGAGAACTTAAAGCTGATCAAAATCAATAAAACTACAACTAAGTTGCTTTTGCTTAAAATGAAGTGAAGTTCTTTTATGATAAATGAAATATTTTTAAATGCCAATTTTATGCAATGGCTGTCAAATTTTTTGTTAGCTACGCCTATTAAAACATTTGTTACATTTAAGCCCAAGAACTAAAATGCTGTTCCTCAGTTCAAAAAGTTCTCTTCCGTCAATAACATCAGCATGAAATTGTATTTGGCTATTTTCATGGGTTAGAATCCTAGCAGCTATATAATTATTTCACTTTCATTTCGAATATGTAATTTTCTATTCCTTCAAGTCCATTTCACATTGTGGAATGCATATGCCGCCAATTTACAAGAATGCTCATTTGAATGTGACAATACTAAGGCTCCAATCTGCAGCTTCGATGGCAAAAGTTGTTATTATGAGCATACGAATGACTGTTTTCTGGCCCGTGAGAAGTGCGCTCGTCAGATATTGAATCTAAGCGGTGAGTGGAGCGTAATTAACAAAGAATTTCAGTTCGTTTTTACATAAACGATTACATTTCTCAAACTAGTATTGCAGCAAGGCACTCGAACAAAATGCTTAGATAACCAAAGGCCAATATGTCACAACCTGTCCACAGTTCCGAAAGTAAAACAAGCATTGCGCAAGCATTTTAAATAATAAATGATTTTTAACTATTAATTGTTCATTGAATAAACATTGCAATTTTTTGCATACTCTTCAAGATGTGGCTTGCTGTGTGGCAAAGCAAGCCGCCATTCAAACGTTTTAGGCACGTGCAAATATAGCGCATACGCCACGTGGCGCCGGTTGAAACAACATTTGTGTGGCTTGGTGGGCAAACGCTTTTGTTGCGGCCACACGGCATGAATTGTAGCTATTTTTAAGTGAACACCGTCTGACCGGGCAACTGATTTAAATTCATCTTTACGTCTGCCTCGCCTGCAATCTGTCAGCCATTTCGAAAACTCTTATTTCATTATTAGCTTGTTTCATCTGCGGCTCATTCATCACAAAAAGCTGTCGTATGATTCATTGAACTCTAATGCCGCAGCATGTTAAAGTACTTTGTGTGCATAATAGCTCCTCAAGGTATTTGTATAAATATTTGTATAGGCATAAACGAGCTCAAGCTCAATTAAGCTTAGAAATGGGAGGGCTAGAACAAGAATTACGCGTGTGGAGAGCAAAATAAGAATGTTGTTGTCTTATGTGATCTATGCGAAGTAAATGGTCATAAATGAAAAAAAAAGGTCTTAAAAAGGATTCACTTTAGAGTATTCAAATAACCATTTTAATGACTTTTTTCATATTATTAGAAATCGGGCGCTTTCATAAAATCAAACCCATGTAAAGGGAAACGACGTTTCAAGCCGTTCAGTAAATAAATTATTAAAAACAAATAAGAGTGCTTTTGTCGGGAGGACCTGACTAGGGGATACCCTGAACCAAAAGCTGCTCGTTCTAAGAGAAAGCGAGACAAGTTTTCGATAACGATCTTAATCGATTGCCTGGAAACGAGGCAAACGATCGATTATCGGAAACAAGCTTGTACTCCATATGTACTAAGAAGACCTACGTAGCTACGGACAAACGGACGGACAGACCGACAGACGGACATGCTGTCTTCTGCATTTAACATACATTTGCACAACAAAATTATACCCTTTTTATAAAAAGGGTATTCAAATGTCAAGACTCGCCACAGTACTCCTTATTGTTATATCTGCATTTACGTTGGCCACTTTACGTTCATTCAAATTTCTTGTGCTTGTTAGTTTTGCTTGAAAAGTTTTGTCATTTTTCAGACTGTGATTTGCGTCCACAACTGACAGTTGAAATGCGGCAAGTCGTTTGCACCTGTTCAGGTGATTTCTTGGCTGGCCAACTTGGCTTGCTGTTAACTCGAATGCTTGCCAGAATTACTTGTGCAATGAAATGTTGTTCTTTTGCATTTTATGAGTTTGCCTCGGCTTGTATTCTTCTTTTTGCTGTTTCAAAGTTTTCGCATGGGATTTTCGAGTTGGTAAATTAAATTACCAAGCAATCTGTGAAATTTGTATTTATTTTTACAATTTTTTGACTTCTTCAGCTGACCATTCAACTTTGACCGTACTGCAAGATTGTATTGTAGTTCTGTGCAACGTTCATTGAACCTCGCTTATTCCAAGACTGTGTACATATATTTGTGGCATGCCTCATAGCATTCCTGGGAATCCAAAGTACACGCATTGACGTGCACGCTTGGTGTGTCTACCATCAGTGAAAGCTTGCAGCTCTTCGGCCAAAATAAGCTGCACAGAGCCTGCAACAAGCCAAACACAGACGAATGTGCCACATGCAATCGGCGCATGCCGTGAAAGTATGCAAAAGCAACTTAAACTGCTCGCATTAGTTTTGAGAATTCTGCGGTTGCTCCACAATTGAGGCGTTGCTGGTTTCATAGCGACTACTATTTCAATAATTTGAATTCCTGTAATTTCTAGTAAATTAAATAAATATGTAAGCAAGAAAAGGAGCTCGCAGTAAATTAAATTCACTCTCAAAACTTTTGTTCTTCTTGTAAACATTTGTAACTGCCTGCACGAGTTTCTGCAACTCGCACAGCATGAAATTTAATTTAACATAATTTCTTTATTTGCGTCCAGCAAAAAACATCACTAGAAAGTAAATAATTGAAAAAAATAAATGGGAAAAAATCAACAAACAGGAAAAAGGTAAAGTAGGGGATAACTGAAACTGGCAGCTAGCAACATTGTAAACAATAATTAAAACAAACACACACGTAACTGGAATTGTGATTTATGCGTGGGCCTGCAAAAGGGAAAAATATAGAATAACAATGTTGACACTGCGGCTAATTATGGAATCCAGCAATGTATGCTCTAGCTTAAATTTGTTTTATAACAGCATTTAAACCTGACAACGGCCAGTTCAAAGCTGAGCTCCACAACTGTTACGCATTTCGTTGTATAATTAGCTATGAAGGGGACAATTTTCACATTAAAAAATGCTTACGTATACTCATACAGGTATATTTACGTCATAAACATATTTTTTTGATTGACTTTATTAATTTTGCTATGATTATAAATATGCTTATTGTAAAAATATTGAATAAAGCGGCTAGAAATCATTTTATTAAATCTAGTTGTTCATCTTTTGGTTAAACAAGTTCAACTTGACTTTACATATTTTTGGTTTGATATTCAAATGTTCGCTCAATTTTACTGTGCACTCGTGTGACGTGGGGCTGTATGCGTAAGGCGTGACACATTTAAAACTCAACTCGAATTCAAAGTCCGATTCAGATTCATCTTTGTTCATCTTATGATATTCCCGAAAGCGCTTTGACTTTGCGCGCGAGTTGTTGATTACAGGCTTGGCCTGCCTTGGTCAGCCCACACCCAACATATGTCTTAACATATTCCCCGCTGACACGTTCCGGGTATATATATATTTTTTTGAATATTTTTAAGGTCTTGCCTAAGCTGAAATTCTTTGTTTGTTTGTCATAAATTGTGGCTAAAAATGCTTACACGTCGCGCTATTTGTATATTTTCCGGGGAATTCTTTATTTTTCCTTACTCATATTTTAATCATTAAAGTTCTGAGTAGAAACTGCTGTATATGCCCGGCACGTGCTGGCGGCTTTTGCGGAGGATTTGGTAATGAGATTGCCCTGCTAAAGTAAAAACTAGAGTGCACAAGCTGTGGTGCTATGTTAGGCAAATATAACGTTCTTTTGCCCAAATATACAGCACTAAAGCAACTTATCGGGGGCGCATTTTAAAGAACAAACATTTTCATTTTAGTCCATTATCCTTTTAAGCTTCAGATAAGCAATAAATACAATCTAAAATAATTTAACATCATTTTTCCTAATTATAAAGCTGTTAAACAGAAATGTCCTTATATTTAAATCTTTTTTTTTTCAGCTAAGAATCAGTCAATCAAAATGAGAACAAAATATTTGCATCCACGCTTGATCGGAATATAAGACGAGCTGGTGTTAAATGTGTTTTCTAAACACATTTACATAAAGTACACAGACTCTGAAGCAATATCTTTAAAAACCTGTTCAAGCTGAGAATATTCAGTGAAACTGCCTGAGAAATATATTATTTAACGCCATTTTTCAGTGTACATAAAGTATGAGGAACTTGTCTAGGAACCCATCCATTTCCATTTTAATCCCTTGTTATCCATCTATCAAGCTTGAAGTTTACAATCACAGCTGCAAATAAACAATGTAGATTAAATGATCGACTGAACCTTTTCAACTTTAAGTCCACAGCATATATAAAATAAATTTAAACTTTGAAGAAGCTGTTCAAAGTGCTTTAATGGCACTTGTCAAACTTAACGTGAAGTGTTTATAAATCAGGCACGCCTTGCTGTTTGGGTCCAAATAATTTAATCTGAAATCTTAAAAAATGCATTGCGTTTAAAATTATTGGAAATCTTTTGAAAATCCATTCGATTAAAGCTGTTCTTAAATATTTGATGACAGGCGCCAACATTTTTGATACTAAAGCAAAAAAAAAAGACAGTAAAAGAAAGGCAAAAATAATAAAATAGGCAAAATACTGGCGCAGGTGTGCGGCAGAAATCTGTGGCAACAAACAGGCGACACCCTTGGCCAAAAGTTTTTGACACGCAAGCGGGACGCAGGCATCCGGAGGTGAAGCGTGGCATGTGGTCTTTAAATATATATATATGTTGAATCAAAGTTCAGCCAAAATATATAGTAAATAACTGCTTGGATTTAAGTCCCATTGCGCATAGGTCCCATTGAACAGCCTGGCTGAAAGGCAAAAGTCAGGACATGTCCAAAAGGTCAGCACAATAAAGAAGTTTAAGTCTATGTGGCTTATATTTATGGCTCAGCTATTTGATCTGATTAGGAGTTTGTTTCATCTTTACTAAATATGACTATATTAGAGAACACGTTTAACGAGCTCAAGAGATTATTAATATATCTTTCTAGGCAATCTATTATTTCCAATGCAATCTCAAATTTGAGGCAAACCCAAATGCATAAAATATTTATATATCAATTATATTCGATATTTTCTATCAAAAATAATTTGATAAATTATGTCCATTTTAAAGAAAAAAGGCCAACTTTAAGAACTCAAACGTACACCCAACATAATGTCAGCCAGACTTGTTACACATTTAACCCAAATAAGCGAAATGTCAACGCGCTCAACTGAAGACAAACAGGGACAACAAATTGCTTACTAAATATTTTGACTTACCCTTGTTAGTTCTTCTTATTTATATTGCTGTTGTTGGTGTTTTTGCTTTTTTGTTTGCGGTTTGCTTAAATGAAACACATATCAACGCTCAAACAAGAAGCTAACTTAACAACAACAACAAGAACCTTACGCTAAATTTGCCTGCCAAGTATTTTATATGGATAAACTTCTAAGCCCGATTAACCTTTAAACAACCACGGTTAACAGAGCATGCTTAGCTTTCAGTATTCTATGTGGTTTAGCGGACAATGGGGCGTCGGGGGCCTCATTAATTCTTTCACTTTATAAAGTTTTATGTCGCCTTTTGATTGACATGTTATGGCCACACATAACAGCTATTTCTAGCGGCAATAAAAATATATAAATAGAGGCATAGATACAGACACAGTTTTGTAGATAGAAAAATGAAGGGGACAG